AGAACTGGGGTACAGGCCAGAGATGCGGAGGGGGAGGGTGAGAGGATTCACCAGAGACAGAACGGGGAGCAAAACAGGCAGATTGAAGAAGTACACTGCTAAGGGGAGCAGCGGCGGGTCAGGAGAAGTCTGCCATGCCATGTGGATTTCCCCAGAGGCGGGCCGGGATCAAACTCATGCAGAAGTGGCTTTAGCTTAGTGCAGTGCTTTAACCCGCTGCGCCACCAGGGAGGGCCTCTTAGTGGATTTTTTAAAGCTTTATTTATACATACTAGACTGGGATGTAGGTCAGAAGTATGATGGGGTGTGTGTGTGTGTGTGTGTGTGTGAGAGAGAGAGGATAACCAGAAACAGATTGGGGAGCAGAACAGACAGATCTACTGAAATACACTGCTGAGGGGAGCAGAGGGCAGGAGGGGTCTGCTGCACCATGTGAACTAGCCCCCTGGCTGCCCAGGGATTGAACTCATGCTGCTGTGCTGGCAATAGCTTGTTAGCACTGTCTTTAACCCTGTACCACCAGGGAGGCCCCTTAATAGATTTTTTTTAAGATTTATTTTTATTTATGCATACAAGAACTGGGGTGTAGGCCAGAGGTGTGGGAGGGCAGGGGGTGAGGATAAATTCATGTTATATAACTGTTTCATGATTTTTTTTAAAAAAAGATTTGTTTTTTTAAATGCATACAAGAGCTGAGGTATAAGCCAGAAGTGCAGGGGCGAGGGTGGTGAGAAAATTCAAGAGTGGGAAGCAAAACAGGTGGACCAACTGAAATACACTACTGACAAGAGACAGGAGAGGTCTGTTATGTCATGTGGGATAGCTCCTGGCTGGGGATTGAACTCAGGCTGCAGTGGCTTTCAATAGTCGATAGCATGTAGTGCTGAGTCTTAACCCCTTCCACCATCAGAGAGGTCCACTATTAAATGTTTTAAATGAACAACTCAGTGAAGCATTTAGTAACGTTTAGTACATTAACCAGGCTATATAACCACCACTTCTGTCTACTTCAAAAATATTTTCATCATCCCTCAAGGAAACCTTCTACCCATTCATCTTATTCCTCCTTCCCCCCTTTCACCCCAGCTCCACCAATCACCAACCTGCCTCTGTAGATTTACCTGTTTTGAACAGTTCATATAAATGAAATATGTGACATTTCTGCCTGGCCTCTTTTATATTGCATAAGGCTTTGGAGGTTCATTCACCCTGGCATGAATCAGTCTTTAATTCCTTTTGGTGACGGAATAGTATTCCATGGTGTAGATATGCCACAATTTATCCTTCCATATGCTGATGGATATTTGAGTTGTTTTTTTACCTTTTGGCTATTGTGAATGAGCAATGCTGCCATGCATATGAATGTATGTGTATTTGCTTGAGTATCTACTTTCAATTCTTTTAGACATACATATATATAAATAGGATTGCTGAATTATGTGATAAGTCTGTGTTGAACTTTTTGAGGAACTGCCTTATTTCCCCCCATTATTGCACCATGTATGAGGGTTCCAATTTCTCCACATTCACATCTCACTTATTTGCCATTTTATTTTATTTTTATATTTTTATTTATTTATTCATACAGAACTGGGGTACAGGCCAGAGATGCTAAGGGTGAGAGGATTCACCAGAGACAGAGTGGGGAGCAGAACAGGCAGATCGACAAAGTACACTGCTGAGGGGAGCAGCGGGCGGGTCAGGAGAGGTCTGCCACACCATGTGGATCTCCTCCAGGGCAGGCGGGAATCGAACTCATGCGGAAGTGGCTTAAGCTTCTCTGTGCTGTGCTTTAACTCGCTGCGCCACCAGGGAGGGCCCAGCCATTTCATTTTATTTTATTTATTTATTTATTTATTTATTTATTTATTTATTTATTTATTTATTTATTTATTTATTTATTTATTTATTTTTTGTTTTTTTAATTATTACAAAAGTTTATTTTTACATCATTTTGCACAATTTTTTTTTCCATCTCGATTGTAATCCCCGCGGGTTTCCCATCACCAAATCACCTGTGTGCCACCACCATAGTCCCATGCATTTCCCTCCCTTCCCCTCCGCCCCCCGTTTTTGATCCCATTCCCTACTCCACCCCCACAACATGTCTCTGGTATATGGTTGTTCATTATTTTTGTTATTTTCTCGCCTGGTCCATTATACT